AGAGCACTGTTTGGTATATTTCTTACTTGTATTAAAGAGATATACACAGTATGTTTCACTTATTTTTTTAATTGATCAGTGCCTATTTTTCCACTCACTTAGTTTTCTGTTTTTAAACAAAATCCCCTGCCTTATTGCCCTGTTTTATGGAGTGTGCCTGCTGTCTCGGATGCCACCCTCTTCCTGACTGCTGGTAGCCCACGGTGCTTGGGTATGGTGGTGGTAGTGGAAGAGACCAACCTTACTGACAACCATACTTGATCATTGTGGAAGAATTGCTGGGCATTTATACCATAGCGTGAAGAGAACACAGGGCTTCACATACATCACCTATGACAGGATATCGGCACAATGAGGTACTCCGTTTTAAACATGGTGGAGAGAATTTTGGAACAGCAAAGGAATTTTGGAACACCAATCCAATGGCATTGACTCACCACTGGGGTGTGAGGATTAGTGATGCACCGAACGGTTCGCTGGCGAACAGTTCCTGGCGAACATAGCGTGTTCGCGTCCGCCGCGGACGGCGAACACATGCGCGGTTCAATCCGCCCCCTATTCGTCATCATTGAGTAAACTTTGACCCTGTACCTCACAGTCAGCAGACACATTCCAGCCAATTAGCAGCACACCCTCCCTAGCAGACTCTCCCACCTACTGGAAGGCATCCATTTTACATTCATTCTCAAGCTGCATGCTTAGTGAGAGGAGGGAAAGTGTAGCTGCTGTTGATTAGATAGGGAAATGTATAGCTAGGTTAGGGTATACAGTGTCCACTACAGTCCTGAAGGACTCATCTGATCTCTGCTGTAAGGACAGCACCCCAAAAAGCCCTTTTTAGGGCTAGAACATCAGTCTGCTTTTTTTTTTTTCTGTGTAATGTAATTGCAGTTAGTTGTCTGCCAGCTTCTGTGTCAGGCTCATAGTGGATACTGTGCCCAGTGCCACCACTCACTCACTGGTGTCACAATAGCTTGCATTTAAAAACAAAAAACTTTTTTCACTGTTATAGATTGAATAGCAGTCAGTGTCCTTAAAGCTGGTGTGTCAGGCTCACAGTGGATACTGTGCCCATTTGCCCAGTGCCACGACTCATATCTGGTGTCACAATAGCTTAAGCTTGACATTTAAAAAGAAAAATTTTTTTTTTCACTGTAATAGATTGAATAGCAGTTAGTTGTCTGAAAGCGTCTGGGTGTCAGGCCTCCTTCAGCGTGTGCTCTGCAGACCTCTGCCCGTGTACTTTGCCACTCATATCTGGTGTCTCTATAGCGTGCTTTTACAAAGAAAAAAAGTTTTTCAGTGTAAGCTAATAGCAGTCAGTGTCCTTAAAGAGGGTGTCAGGCCTCCTTCAGCGTGTGCTCTGCAGACCTCTGCCCAATATGCCCACCGACAGTCTTAAAGGGCCATACACACCAAATAAAAGTGCATACATTTTCACAATCTCCCAGGGGCCATAGTCATGCGGGAGGAGGCTGGCAAGTAGGCTTCTCCACAACCCAGGGAAGCAGGGCAATTTGCCATTTAAAGGGCCCGTTACAAATAGCATTTTGTAACAAGGTGTCAATCCATATCTGCCAAGTGACCCGATGTAGGGGGACCAGTCCCTATTCTGCTCTGTGTCAGTGTGTATCATGGTCTCTGAGGACAGGTGTCAATCCATATCTGCCAAGTGACCCTATGTAGGGGAAATAGTCCCTATTCTGCTCTGTGTCAGTGTGTATCATGATCTCTGAGGACAGGTGTCAATCCATATCTGCCAAGTGACCCTATGTAGGAGGAACAGTCTCTATTCTGCTCTGTGTCAGTGTGTATCAGGGTCTCTGAGGACAGGTGTCAATCCATATCTGCCAAGTGACCCTATGTAGGAGGAACAGTCCCTATTCTGCTCTGTGTCAGTGTGTATCAGGGGCTCTGAGGACAGGTGTCAATCCATATCTGCCAAGTGACCCTATGTAGGGAACAGTCTCTATTCTGCTCTGTGTCAGTGTGTATCAGGGGCTCTGAGGACAGGTGTCAATCCATATCTGCCAAGTGACCCTATGTAGGAGGAACAGTCTCTATTCTGCTCTGTGTCAGTGTGTATCATGGTCTCTGAGGACAGGTGTCAATCCATATCTGCCAAGTGACCCTATGTAGGAGGAACAGTCTCTATTCTGCTCTGTGTCAGTGTGTATCATGATCTCTGAGGACAGGTGTCAATCCATATCTGCCAAGTGACCCTATGTAGGAGGAACAGTCTCTATTCTGCTCTGTGTCAGTGTGTATCATGGTCCTTAGGACAGGTGTCAATCCATATCTGCCAAGTGACCCTATGTAGGAGGAACAGTCTCTATTCTGCTCTGTGTCAGTGTGTATCAGGGGCTCTGAGGACAGGTGTCAATCCATATCTGCCAAGTGACCCTATGTAGGAGGAACAGTCTCTATTCTGCTCTGTGTCAGTGTGTATCATGATCTCTGAGGACAGGTGTCAATCCATATCTGCCAAGTGACCCTATGTAGGAGGAACAGTCTCTATTCTGCTCTGTGTCAGTGTGTATCAGGGGCTCTGAGTACAGGTGTCAATCCATATCTGCCAAGTGACCCTATGTAGGAGGAACAGTCTCTATTCTGCTCTGTGTCAGTGTGTATCAGGGGCTCTTTGAGTACAGGTGTCAATCCATATGTCAAGGTGTCAATATGTCATATGTCAGGTGTCAATCCATATCCATTGTGATTTATGAATGTTAGGTGATTTATGCCCTTTATGGATTAAGAGCAGACTCTGCATCAACTGTGTAATTTTCCATGGGAGTTTTGCCATGGATCCCCCTCCGGCATGCCACAGTCCAGGTGTTAGTCCCCTTGAAACACCTTTTCCATCACTATTGTGGCCAGAAAGAGTCCCTGTGTGTTTTAAAATTCGTCTGCCCATTGAAGTCTATGGCGGTTTGCCCGGTTCGCCGGTTTGCGAACATTTGCGGAAGTTCGTGTTCGCCGTTCGCGAACCGAAAATTTTGTGTTCGCGACATCACTAGTGAGGATTGGACAGTTATTATTGTTATTGATATTTATAAAGCACCAACTAATTCCGCAACACTTTACAATATTATGAAGGGCGGGGGGAATTACAATAAATGAGACAATTACACAGTGACACAGGAACAATATGTAGATGAGGGTCCTGCTCAAATGAGCTTACAGTCTAGATGAGGTGGGGTACAAATACATAACAGGGCAGCAAGGGTGAGAGCCAACAAACAAGGTAGAAAAGTAGCAGATTTGGAGGTGAGAGTGGAGTATGGCTCTTTAGGAAAGCAAGAGACAGATTTGGATAAGTATAGATAAGTTACTCTGGTAGTCCATAAGCATTTCTGAACATATGTGTTTTGAGGGACTTCTTAAACAATTGAAGACTAGGGGATGGTCTGATGGGGGGTAGGTAGGCTGTTCCAAAAGAAGGGAGCCTCCCATGAGAAGTCCTGAAAGCGTGAGTTAGCAGTAAGGGTGCGAGCAGCAGACAGGAGAAAGTCACCAGCAGCAAGGCCGGTGCAAGGATTTCTGTTGCCCTAGGCAAAGATCCATTTTGCCTCCCCCTCATGTCACTAACTCATTGACAGACACTCACTGGCAGACAAACACTCACTCACTGACAGACAGACACTCTTTAGTGAAAAGAACACTGAGGCTAAATGCAAGGGCGTACCTAGAGCATTTGGCACCCGGGGCGGACCCTGAGTGTGGCACCCCCCCCCCCATAATAAAAATTTAAGAAAACACCTACAATTTTTTCAGTGTTTTCAATAATATTTATTGCACAAATTTGCAAACTGTATATCAACTTGAAAAAAATGGAACTTTGAAAAATAAATTAACTTAGAAATAAATAAAATTTAAATAATTAACATTTTCTTAATAGTTAAAACGCTTTCTATAAACAAAAAAACACACAGACCCAAAGTGACCACTCAGTCTATTCGGCAGAGGTAATGTGCAATGATTCACATCCGCTGCCTTCGAGCCTTCATTTCTGCAAATTTATCGATTACTTCATCAAAGCCAATCTTCCTTGCATATTCATGCTCAATTGAAAGTATAGCCAGATTTGTCAATGTTGTCTCACTCATGGTTGAGCGAAATAAATTTTTTATCAATTTTAATTTGGAAAAACTTCTTTCACATGAAGCAATAGACACACAGAGAGTCAAGAAGAATCTTAAACACAGTGACAAATTTGGCAGAGATTCACAATAATCCCATTTAACAATGAACTCCAGGAACTGCAATGCCGTCCATTTCTTTGCTTCTTCAACACTGATCTTGGCAGCTTCCAAATGCCTCCGAAGATGTTCAATTTCCCTGAAGATGTCTTCACTCAAACATAGCCCTTTTCAATTCCTCTGGCAATGTGAGACCAGCGTCCTTTGCCTTCTCTCCTGGTATTGTTTTACGGAGCTTTACTCTCCCCCTTTTTTCCATTGAAATATCAATTTTTTTACACGTAGTAGTTGCATAACAAATGGCCTTCTCCACAATTTCACTGCGCTGACCTGCTAGAAACGCTTTCAAACCTTGTATTTTCACAATGCACTTTTCAAGAGTGAGTCCCACAGTTTGCAAATATTTCTGTGTGATATTAACTTCTTCTAGAATTTCACACCAGAAAAAAAGGTAACACAAAAAAGAAAAATCACATACGGCAGACAGCAACATCTGAGCCGATCCTCTTGTGTCCACATTTTCTTTGGGATTACACAATTTTTCAAGGGCTGAAGTCAGTTTTTCAAAATTTGCCCTCACTTGCTTCACAGCATCATAATGGGCGCTCCATCTTGTTTGGGAAGGTCTTTTCACTGTCACACCTAAATTTTCCATCAGCAATTCCCGACGATGTGTAGAAACCGAAAAAAAGGAATACACTCTCTCCAATGTTCTAAAAAAGGTCACACAGGAAGCAACACTTTCAAATGAGTGCACCCCACATAGGTTCAGGGATTGGGATTAATCTCTTTTATTTTTGCCTGAACACCACCATGAATCCCTGCCATAGTTGCAGCATTATCATATCCTTGACCACGGCAAAGGCTTATGTCTAGTCCATCTTCCTCCAGATGTTGCAGGATATTTTCTGTGAGTTCAGCAGCAGTCTTTTCAGCAACAGGAAAGAAGCCCAAGAATGATTCCTTTAATTCAACATGGTCCCCTTCAATATGAACATATCTGATCACGTCACACATCTGATCAGTGTGGGACACATCAGGGGTGCTGTCAAAAAGAATCCCAAAGTACTTTTCTTTCTTGATATCAGCCACTATTTTGTCCTTCACATGATTTCCCAAAAGACAAATTAATTTGTTCTGAATTTTTGGAGAGAAATAGGAAGTCATTCTCTTTCCACATGCAAAAGCATGTTTCAGCCTCATGAAATGTTCCTTTAAATTGGGATCATAGTTTGAGAGCAATTCTACCAATTCGAGGAAGTTGCCTTTGTTTGCGGATGACATGGTCTCTCTATGACCAGGAAAGGGAAGATTCTGGTAAGTCAGAAACAAAGTTACATCCAAAAGGCGATGCAAAATATCCCTCCATTTCCTTTTCTCTCTGTCCACTGTTGTTTGATGGACATGAACAAGGCATTTTTGTAGCTTCAATCCTGCTCTCAAGGTCTTCCATTTCTCCAAGCATGTAAGATGTTGCTCAGAAGCCTCATGATCAGACACCTTTGGGTTAAGCTTCCACCACAATTGAAACCCAGTAGCAAAAACAAAACAAACTTTAAAACATCTGGAACTGGAACTGGCCAAGCAGCAACATAAACTAACAGTCGAACAGTCTCCTCTTCTTCTTCATCATCATCATCAGAGTCTTGCTGATGTAGGCTTCTGCTGGCATCTCCTTCATCTACATCACTTTCACCGCTTGAAGATAAAATGATCTTCTCCAATTCTTGCGCTTTCACAAATGAAGCTTCTTGAGAAGATATTTCAGGCATTTCAGCTCTGGATTCAACAAACTGAACATCTTCAGCACTTTCTCCTACTGCTGTAGATTATTTAAAATTGATCCAGACATCACCTCAGCTGACTTTTCTCTTGCCTTCTTAATTTTTCGTTGCTGAGACCCGCTTGGTCGATTTCACTTCATATTTGGTGTTTTCTGCAGAAAAACTCTAAATTCATTTTGGCTCTAGGGTTTGCTAGTGCGATATCTGTCTTATATTTCCCATCTTGGCATACCATTTGTAAAAGTAGACAACCCAGGGTATTTAAAGGGACACTATAGTCACCCAGACCACTTCAGCTCAATGAAGTGGCCTGGGTGCCAGGTCCCCCAGATTTTAACCCTCCAGATGCAAAAATCGCATCCAGCTTGCAGAATGTCCATAGGAAAGCATTTCACAATGCCACGCATGTGCATTCGGCTCAACTCGGGAGCTGACGTCAGCGGGGGAGGAGAGGTCACCAGCGCTGAGGGAGCCTGGCTCTGGATTAACCCCTTAAGGACACATGACATGTGTGACATGTCATGATTCCCTTTTATTCCAGAAGTTTGGTCCTGAAGGGGTTAAGGTAAGTGGCTGAAGGGGTTTTAACCCCTTTAAACCCATTCAGTCACTTACCTTTCTCCAGCGTCGGGCTCCCTCGGCGCTGTGACCTCTCCTCCCCCTGCCGACGTCAGATCCGAATGCGCATGCACGGCAAGAGCCACGTGCGCATTCAAACTGCCCTTAGGAAAGCATTACTCAATGCTTTCCTATGGATGTCCAGCGTCTTCTCACAGTGAGTTTTCAGTGAGAATTGCGGAAGCGCCTCTAGTGGCTATCAGTGAGACAGCCACTACAGGCTGGATTAGCCCTCAGTGAAACATCTCTGAAACTGCTATGTTTTCAGCTGCAGGGTTAAAACTAGAGGGACCTGGCACTTCATTGAGCTAATGCTTTAAGGGGTTAAACACATTTCTAGGAAGATAAACAGCATAGGAAAATGATTTGGGTTCAAAAGATGTAGGGGCCAGGGCAGAGGTTTTGTAGAAGGGTGCCTGGGCAGAGGTTTTGTATAAATGCACCAGTTTTGTAGAAAGGGGCTGGTGAGAAACTTCTAGAAAACTCCTGCCCTGCCCCTTTCTACAAAGCTCCTTGTCTCGCCACTTCTAGAAAACCCCTGCCCTTCGCTCTTCAAATAAAAACCCTGCACACTGATCACATAAATTTCATACATTCCCTACACATAAAAACCCTGCACACCCCCTTAATTAAAAAAAACAAAAACACTGTGTTACGGTACCTTCAGTAATGAAATGCCCAAACCGCCGTTTAGTGAATGCTCCCCGTTCGCAATAATGTGGTCTGGTAGCGTGTATAGTAACCATGCGAACCGCCAGCTAGGGAACACTCCAAACTCCCGAACGGTACCTGTACGGCTCTTTCCCTTCACGAGCTCCAAATCCACGAACTGCCAAGATTAACCGAACGCCAATATCTTCCAAGCGGCAAATAATTCCAATAAGCAGTCTCTAGGTGCCGGTAATAAAATCCCCCCCAATAACGAGACCAAGCTCCGCTTTGAGGGTAAAACACAAACTGATTTACTGTGGGCTACCTGCCCGTATTTATGCAGGTCTCCCACTTGGTGGACACTCCCCTAGGGGACCAAATGGGAGACTGAAATGACAGAAGGACATGGGGACATTTTGGACATACATCCCCACAATATTCTCAGCATGCATCGCAGTTCCCTCCCCTCTGCTCGGGAGATAATTGGGAAGTAATTCAATTATCTCCCAGAGCAGAAGCAAATCGACATTTTAAGTACAAGTCATAAAACACATAAAAATACATAACTTTATAACTGCCGAACATATTGCATTCGTGTAACACATCCCCAGATAAAACATGTACATAAATAAAATATACCCTTCTCTCCTAATAGATCAAAACTGATTTAACTCGTACACTCAAAGTAGATAAAAATACACAAATTAATTTATTAATAAAAAGATAGACTAATATAAAGAGAAAACATTAAATCTCACATATAATACGTCTATAACAAATAATTAAACAACAGCCGTAAAAAAGTCATAAAAAGTCCAGACCTTATTGAAATGCTCGGCGTCCCGAGTCAGCAAAGATGTATAAATGCTGAAAAAATAAGTCAAATAAAAGTCCTCTTTATAATCCAGGTGATGGCTGATAGTGGTGGGAGTCAGACCTCTCCAAACGCGTTTCTCCGCTTTGGCGGCTTTTTCAATGGATGAGGTCTGTGTCTTTGTGTTCGCTTATATAGCGGTTTGCCGGCATTAATTAGAACCCGGCAAATACATCAGACAGTGAGTGTAACAAAAGTAACTTCTCTGAAACAAAATAGTTTCACTGTATCAGAACAGCTCAGGAAAGTTATCCCTTATTTGGATCGGCATATTATATTATTCCTCTTTATTTACTACTGTTACCATAGTAACGCCCGCCCAAGCAGGTTTAAATGTAACTGCCGTTTCCAATTGGTTAAAAAAGACGGAAAACATGAAAGAGAAAGAAGACAGAATTACAAAAGTGTTAAAAAAAAAAAAAAAAAGTGAATGGGTGTTGCAAATATAACTTCTATATGCTCAAATAGTTAAAATATATCAAAACTCGATAACTGAGAAAAAGTACTCTTTACTTAATCATTTGATCTGCCCATCACATTACCATTTTGTGTATGCTCCCGTTACTATAGTAACGATTGTATGAGCAGGTTTAACTTTATCTGCCATATTTATGTGACGTAGGATGACAGGGAAATGGAGAAATCTATTATAAAAAGATGGTAATAATGGAATAGGGATCTCTCATTATGTCTACTCCTGTTGATAGAATAAAGAGATTTCCATGTTACAACTTGGATCACAATTTTAAAATATTAGGGCGATCTAACAAACCTAATGTTATAGCTTACACTAACGCTGCTTGGTATAATTAGATGAGAGATTCTAAATCTCAAATAGTATCCATAAAAACACTTAAAGGGGGAAATTTATCCCAAAAAATGACATAACTCAAATTCGGCATTTAATCCCTTAGGCTGCAACGTATCAAGTTGATATATCCATTTCATCTCAGTAATGCCCAGTTGTTTAGTATGGTCTCCTCCTCTCCAGTTTTTATTCACTCTACATATCCCCTTAAAGTTCAAAAGGCTCATATCCGAATTATGATGTTGTTTAAAATGGGCTGATACTGAATGTTGCATATAGCCTTTCTTTATATTCAACATATGTTCTCTAACTCTAATATATAGTTGCCTTTTTGTTCTTCCCACGTACTGGAGCCCACATGGGCACTCCAGTACGTATATTACGTTAGTGCTTTGGCAGGTGATATGTTCTTTTATTTTAAAAGATTCCATCTTTTTCTTATTGTTTTTGTTGGTAACTTCAAATACGCCTTTTGTTTGTTTAAACCTACTTTCTTTGCATGAAATGCAGTCCAGGCAATAGAAGAAGCCATTTTTCTTTGTTATAGTTGGAGCGTTTCTACCTTTATGGTGTTTGTTAGTTATTTTTCTACATAAGTTCGGTGCGCCCCTAAAAATAATCTTCGGTCTTTCCGGTAAAATACTGGCCAGAATTTTGTCTTTTTTCAATAGATGCCAGTGTCTTGTAAGAATCCTTTTTAATTGTAGGTTTTCTTTATTGTAATTCAAGATAATTGATGGAAATTCTTCTCCTGATTTTTTCGGTTGTGATTTATCTTTATTATTCAATAAATTAATGCGGTCTAAATTATCAACTCTACATAGTGCCTCCTCTATTTCATTGTCTTGATAGTTTTTCATCAGAAATTTTTTTTTTTTTCCTTACTCCTTCCGCTTGTTCTCTGTAGACTTCAGAATCTGTGCAATTACGTCTCAAGCGTCTGAATTCATTGTAAGGTACGTTCTTAAGCCACATCGGTAGGTGACAACTTTCTTTAAGAATGAAGCTATTCACGTCTACTTCTTTAAAGTGCGTTTTCGTTTTAACTGTACCAGAATCTACATAGATAATAAGGTCAAGGAATACTATCTGTGTCTTGCTCCAGGTAGTGTTAAGTTTAACACCCCATGTATTCTTGTTTACATATTCTAAGAACTTGTGCAGGTCTTCCATTTCACCTTTCCATATGAAAAAAACATCATCGATATATCTCTTATACCTGTATATGTTATTATTCCAGGGGTGTTTATTCCAGATGTGATTATCCTCCCAGTCTCCCATGAACAGGTTGGCAAAACTGGGGGCAAATTTCGTCCCCATTGCTGTTCCCTTCTTTTGGAGGTAAAACTGATCTTCAAACAAAAAATAATTGTTCTTCAAAATAAAAGCAATCCCTTCTATTATGAATGAGATTTGATTGTCTTCCAGTTCTCCATATTTCCTTAATGCATTACTAACGGAATCACAGCCTTGTTGATGATCGATGATCGTATATAACGAAGTCACATCTGTGGACACTAGAATGTAGTTGTCTTGCCAAGAGATAGAA